GACAATGAAAAGAATACACTGACCACAGACCTTTAGAGCAGACCTTGAATTATGATTTTCCTGTTCTGTGTGAATGATTTGGCAGCAATGAATGAGCAATTCAACTTTAGACATAGGGAGCATCAGAGGTCTTCTGAAGGCTTTCAAAGGTTAGTTAATATTAGAAAGACAGTGGATATTTAGGAGAATAACATGTTTATGGTAATCAGATGCTTTAGAACACTTTAGAAAGAGAAGGAACTGAGAAACCCCACAGCCTGCCTGAATCATTTAATGCTTCACAATTAATAACAGATTGGGGGCAGGGGAAGAGATACAAATCTTTTTTTTGCCTTTTATTCCAGTATCAGTTATCATAGCTCTGTGAAAGAAATCATTTAGTTAAGAATAAATACAAAAGCTCTCACTCCAGAAACAAACAGCTTTTCTACAATCCTGCCGACATAAAGCTAGAAGAAATTCCTTCCCCAAGGACCATTAGTGGCATTTTTCTGACTGCCAGAAAGCCTGTGCCTTTCAAGAAGGTACCCCAGGAGCAGGGACATACTGCTGCAATGGTGCATGGGGCAACTGATCTGAACTTGTCAGACCCAGAAGGAACACGTGTCAGGTTGCCTTATCATGAAAGGAGCCAGCCAGAAGCACAAGATGGTGGCTATCTCAGTGGCTACAAGAGGGGTGGCTAAGGGAGAGCCACTATTGTTAGCTGATGAAGGTGTCCATTACTACTAATAGAAGTACTGGTTTATCAATAAGGAAGTTTAACTTCCGAGCACATATATGCCTGCCTAAAGGTCTTATCTGCAAAATTAGAACTATGCAGTTGGAACAATCTAAATAATCTGTCCTAGCTGTGCAGGGGCACTAGAAAAGTATCAGCAAACTCAGACACCATTTGAGACCAACCTGCAGGAGCACGGCAGGAATTCCAGGAATAGTGGCAGGCTTTGTCTTGCTTCAGTTATTGGATGCTTACATCAAACTCACCTTTTCCTCCCACATTATTCTCCTGGTTTTGTATTCTCTCATCCTCTTTCTCCTGTCCCTTTTCTTTCCTGGGGGGTTGGAACTGCATGATCCTTAAAGTCCCTTCCAACCCAAACCATTCTCAGATTCTGATACACAAAGCATCCAGTAAAATGCAGAGCAATTCTTCCATAGCCTACTGAAACTTTGCGGTGTTCTGAAGTGTAAGTTACTGCATTGTATCATCCAACCAGTTTTGCAGCGAGTATGTCCCATCTTTAGGCTGTTCCCATTAAGTGACCTTTACCGCATCTTCTGCATCTTTGGATGAATCTCACCTTTCTGCCCGTAGTTTCTCAAACAGTACCTCAGGACTCAAGTTTAGAGACACTGAAATAAATGCCATCTTCTCCATACTTCGTAATAAAAAAAGCCATAGGAATTATTTTCCTAAGGAGCAGCTAGGCACGAGTTTCAAGTCAAAACTGCCACTTGGCATTGGACTTGCTCTTAGGGACAACAGAAAATTAAGGTCCCCATCCCCACCCCAATATTTACTTTTTTCTTTGTAAATGTAGTGTAAGCCCCTAAAAACCCATAATTTTTTTTAGCTATGAATACACAGATACCAGACTCAATTCTTTAAAACCAGAGTAAACAGATACCTGACAAACTGTGACTGTTCTTAGGAAGAACACTGCAAAACCAGACACTGGAACGGATGCAGTGTGAGAACAGTTAAGCCTGTGTACGTAGGTGTAAGTAGGGAAAAAGGTGACTGAAGAAATGCTGATATAAAAATACACTTACTCCAAGAAGCACCCAAATCAGTTCCGTCTGTCCAAATGAAGGATCTATCTCCTCTTCAAAGTTGTGTTAAGCATAGATTGGTTATGCAGTAACCAAGTTTTTTGGTGTTGTCCCTTTCAGCTGAACATGACCTATTTTCGTACTTGGACCAGAAAACCCCAGTGTATTCATATACACAGTCACCGCAAATACCTATTTTTCTCACTTGAACTTGGGGTGGATATTGCTTTTCAAGATGCATTTCTACAGAAGCTCTTTGCTAAACTAAGTATTTTTAACTGAAAAGTCTATCTCTTGACAGACTGGCCCTGAATTAGAGTGAAACTTTCTTCAGTGTCCACTACAACACAAAGATTTCAATGGAAAACTGGCTTTAAATTCAGTGGACCGAGGAGAATTTTGGAAGCCTCCCTAGTGTTTTCACCCACCCCCACTGGAAATGGCCAGCAATGACAATCCTGAACTACGGAAGCTTCCCTTACATACACAACAGTAAAACAGTTCAACACAGCTTCTCTCTTAACTGGTCTGTTTCTGTCCAAGAAACACAGTATAGTCATATGTGATATAAATAAGAATACAGTCATTTTGCTGCTTATTGTCCAGGATGTTACCAAACAGTGTCTGAAAGGGGCCATCCAGCTACTATTCCTCATCCAGTGGTACATTCCCCCACCAAAATTCCACGATTACAAGTGATTAGGGAAGTACTATTTTCAGGACAGCTCACAACCTTGAAGTACACAGAATCTTCTATAATCCTGCTTGGTGACATCCAACACTAGTAGGGGTCAAGTTAAGAGACATACTTTAAAATTTATGAGGCTCAATGTAGACTTACGTATCTTCCTTCACTGGGAAGGACCACTACATGAACACATGGTTGCACACCATGGCACACCTAGAAGCTGGGAGGGATGCTTTCATTTCACGTATCAGTTAGGTTAGAAGGGACCTCTTGAGATCACTTAGTCCAGCTCCCTACCCAAGCAGGGCCATCTAAAGCCACTTGCCCAGCACATCCTCAGCCAGGCTCTTGATCTGCATAGGCTCCACAACCTGTGTTTGAACACCCTCATAGTAAGTCTTTCCTTCTGTCCAAATAGAACATCATCTTTCTGATGTGCCCACTGCCTCATCCTGCCAGTGGGCACCACTGAGATGAATCTAGCTGTCTTCATTCCCTCCCATCAGGGTTTTGTACAGACAGGATCTCCCCCTAAGCCTATAAATTAAGGTAACAGCAATCTTCAGGCACATCTCCCACCTCATCCCCAATTTTAGAATAAAAGAGCACCACCAGGTGTTTTACCGCAATGTTGTACTATTTGTTCTTACTATTATTGTATAGAATAAGAACCTCCACCATATTTAACATACACAATGAGGGATTGTATCTTAGCAAGCTACCAGAAGCTCTAACTTACAATTATAAAGTACTCCTACATACTCAGGATGAGCCAAGGACTACCTATTTCACAACAGCAGAAGCACTTGCAAGTGACCTCAGTCAAAAGGTTCAAGTTTAGTAACTGGTGTCATGAACTTCCACCACACTGCTTCACCGGCTGTACCTCAGAAGACATTCTTCCACCAGCAGAAAGTACTGGAAGTACTGGAATGATACTAAAAGTTATCATTCTGCAGTTAAACATTATGTAAACAAAGTTACAAGTTTTCAATATCAACCTAGACATCAGGTATTTAATTAACAGCATCACACACACACTAAACAAAACCAGCAGCTTTTCCTGTGGCCAGACACTCTCACCAGTGAGCAGCTAAAATGCAGTAAATAAAGGTGGCCTTGCCACCCATTCTTCACTCATTCCTTTTATGAAAGGGAATTATCTCAGCCAAGGCAGTCTTCCATAGTGGAGAAGACCTTTTCCTTTCTGCACTAATCAGATACTTCCACATGCACATTGAGTTGGAGCAGAAGACTGGGTGTATGTGCAATTCCCAGCCTACTGAAACTCAAGACGTAAGATTGGTAAATACAAATTCTTGTCAGATCCTTGTCTGTGTTACTTACCTCTAAAAATGAGACTTCCAATGCTCCTGGCAATTCAGGATTTCACACGGCTCTTCTGATGGTTCTACAGAATTCTCATTCTGTGCCAGTTTAAGCACCTATGTCTCATCCACTAGCTCCTAGACACAGGGTGTAGACTGGACAACAAATGTTTGTCCAGTCACTCATTTTGTAGAAGGCAGACCCTAACTACTAGAATATTTAGACTGTGTAAGCTTCCTGAATCAGAGTGCCAGTGCACAAGCAACAATTCTAAGGAATTCAAACATGACTTTGAGATTTATGACTACAAACATTTGATTAAGTGTTTCTGAATCCAGGTTCATCAGCTGTCCTAGTTTTACATCTTCACTGTAATTATAAATATCTCAGAGATTATTAAGACAGTTTTAAAGCAATAGGTAACTGCTCTGTTGGGACCAGTGAGGGTGACCAGATACCGGGGCCAACACTTTAAAGGCAACCGGAATCCCCAGACAAGATAACCATACTGCTGCCTATGTTACACCAGTCAGTTCTCACCAGGACTAGAGGAGGCAAGGGGCACAAACAGCCTTTGGCATTCTTTTGCGTCTTGGATTTGTCCTTGGTTAAAAACAAGCTTGTTTTCCACTTAAAAAGAAAATAAACCTTGACAATCAGTGCTAGAAGCACAATCATGCACATTAGCTATCAGTAAGAGAATGTTTTCCTTCTGTACTTTGAAGTGACTGCACCCTGAATGGCAACTCAGACATGACAGTTCCAGTAAAGTCCAGGTGTGAGACTAAGTTACCCCCATGTAGCAGCTGACATGGAATAAACTCCAAAATAATTAAAAGAAAGCAAACAGGTTTAGTTGTCTGAACAAGGAATTTTAATTTTAGGTCAACTATTGAACTAGGTCAACATCCAGTTCACAATGTCTACAGATAGTGGGCATAGCCAGTCACTACGTTAAGTTTATTGAAGCACCGAGCTCCACACAAGACTGTAAAATACATTTTAAACTACTAGTAAGAAAGCTTCTTCAAGTCAACAATACTATTAAGGGCCAGAGTTTAAGGACTAAGTTTTCACCTTCCAAGCTATTTTAAGACAGCCAATCATTTGCATAAGCAAACCAAACTGCTACATACTGAAACACAGAGCAGCAACGGTATTGAACAATTCCTGTAAATAATTCAAGGATACATTGAAACAGTATGGGTAAATTGTAATTTTTTTATTGGAAAACAAATATACAACTTGGAATGGATTTGAGGCAAATCGTGCCAGAAGCAGATTTTTTTAAAATAAGTGGCTAAACAAAGTTTAAAAAGCATAGTAACAAGAGGAGAAAATGTTTTCTGGTACAGGACCAGCAGTACAAAAAAAACTTGTGTACGAGTACCTGGATAAATCACCCGTTTTGCATTAGTGCAACTTAAGTTTCATATTGTTGACTGTCAATCGTCCACAACGTTAAGACTCCACATTTCAACAACATGTTACAGGTATGGCCACAAACAAGTTACTGTGAAGCAAGCCAGGAGAATGATTTTTTTTTACAGTGCATTAGCCACATGTATATATACTATTCACATGGTTTTATCCTGCAGTTAGCTGCAAGAGTCCTTATCCTCCATCACAGAAAGCAGAATAAGCTCCTTTATATACCAGAGAAATAGAACCAGCATGTCGCTTTAACTAAGTAATTGCTAATGCATGGTAAACCCTAGCTTACTTTATGTAACTTGTATCACTAGTCATACCTACATCTCCTAAAGAAAGCTACTTTTTTTAAAAACAGATAACCCAGATGTTCCCTCAGTTAACCAACTCCATCTAACTTCAGATGTGCAGAAGGGCTTAAATATCCAGAGTAAGCCACATGCAACATTTGTTACTTAGATCAATTTTCCAAAAATCAGAACAATGACAGTAAGATAAAGGAGAAAAACATGGAGGAATGGCCTTCTAATTACTATACATGCATATTCTTTTGACAGTAAGGGAAAAACCTTTTACAGATAAGTTACAAACAGAGAAAAGGCAAATAAACAATTTTGTACAAGAAATTTAACACATTCTGTACAACGTCTTCACTTCGCTGTCATCATTTGTACAAACTCTGCAAAAGGAAAGAATTGCATGAGTTATTCAGAGAAAAATCTGAACTGCAAGATCTGAGAAGTGACCTCCCTTACTAGTGCTAACATTTTCAATACTACACTTTCAGTTATATTCGAAAGAGCATCTTCAAGACAATACCCTTATCCACCAATCACCTCTTAAACTCCTATTTTTAATGGCAAAATGCCTCTACTTTTATCAAAAAGAGCTGGTCCCTTAGCAAACTGGAGAACTGCCTTACTTCCAAAAACAGAACTTTACAGGGTCCTCCTGCCCACTGACTTACAGACAGGGACAAGATACCTAAGAATGACTAAGATCAGTGGAAACTGTGCTTAAGTGTCCATCAATTAAATAGGTGTACAATGACCAAGACACCGCAGAGGTTTCCATTTTTTTTGTTTTTCAAAGCAGAATAGCACACGTGTTCCTCTCTCACCTGGCCAGCTTTAAGCAACTGAATCATTGTTTATTCAGAGCAAAATGAAAGTTAGATCCCACAAAATAGGATTTTTCACTTATCTTGCTGAACCATAATTTTAGGTTCAGTAACAGAAAGAAACCAGGAATCTAAGAGGAGTTAACTGGTTGCTGAAGTTTCAAAAGAGCAATTGGAAAGAAGAGGGATGTCTGCCCTCTCTAGTATCAGCCTGTGAACAGTCTATCTGCAAGTACAGTTATGAGGCAGCAGCCTTGTTCATAAAAATGCCTTTCACTTGCAGATGAGTGCTCATCCTGAGGCCACAACCAGAAAAGGCCTTAAAAGGAAACCACACCTACCCCTCAGGAACAGTAAATGTATTGCCTGAACACACCCCAGCTCCATTCTGTAAGATGTTCAGAAAGTTAAAATGAAACCAAGCCTAGTCCTTCTGAGCTGCAAGTAATTGTCTAACACAGCTCCTCCTGCTTGCATGACTTCATTCAAGTTTCAATACCAGGAAGAAAGGAGGAAATGAAAATAAGCAAATGCTGCAGCCAATTTGTGTGAAATCATTTAATAAGTCTCCTGTGTATTTTATGAGCCTTCCCCCCTTGAATTGGTAATTTTAAGAGAATTAATGAAAAATGAGTGACTTCCTACATTCAAATCAATGCTCATTAGTGAACAAAACAGTATGTGAACATCTCAGCTAGCTTCCTTATTCTAATGTCATCAGACATCATTAGATTTAGACAGTTATTTCTTACACAGCTGAATAGTTATTTTTTGCCTTTGGCACAAAGGTATTAATGCACTCAAGCTTAAAGCTATTCAGAGGTACAAAATGTACAAACTAAAAGACATTTGCTTAAAGGAACACTAAGCGTTGCGAATATCTCATCTGAACATTGCCCTGTTTAAATTTGGGGTGGCTATCAACATCAACACAATCACTGGCATGGAAAGTGCTACACAAAAAGAATGTGTTAACAACTCCTTACCTTCATAGTTTACTTGACCATCACCATCAATGTCTGCTTCCCTAATCATTTCATCAACTTCTTCATCTGTTAGCTTCTCTCCGAGATTTGTCATCACATGACGGAGTTCTGCAGCACTAATGTAACCATTGCCATCCTGGGAGGAGAAAGGGAAGACTGGAATAGACTTGCCTATGGCCTAGCAACTGAACTGTAAGTTAAGAATATTGCAGAGCAAGTGGGCATTAAGGAGTTAACACAGCTTTAGACACAAGCACCTGCACAAAGCAAATAAAAGCTGTAAGCATACCTTCGGTATTTTTCAGGATCTTAAGTCTTAAAAAGACATTTTAAAAACAACTTATCCAATCCATTCTACTCTGGCTGTCCTATCCAAGGCATGTTTAGATCACCGACAAAGCAATCAGCACCTTCTGCAGCTTTTTTAGGTGACAGATGCCTATTCACAGTCATGTGACTGACTGGTTCCAGCACCATTTCTTACAACACAGGCTACTTCTCATTCACCTGATTCACGGCAGACAGCACAAAGCCACAAGGCCTTCAGAAACCACTTCTATGTGCAACATCCTAGTTGGGACACTAGATATTGAAGCACTGATATTATGAAAGAGAACCATTTTACGGGTATTTAAACAATTTCCCTGCCATTCTTGTAAAACTATTTTGTATCATAGCGACTGCTTAATAGTATCACCCACTATCACGATGATTCCTTTGACCCTCAGGTGACCAGAGTAGACTTGAACTTCAGGGTTTTTAGGTAACCTACAGGTTCTAGATCACAGGATTGCAGATACCTCTCAATTCAGTGAGGAAGCTCCTTAGAACTCACTGAGTCTTCATAAGAAATATTTAAGGAAAATGTTTTAGTACCTTGTCAAACACACGGAACGCTTCTCTAATTTCTTCTTCACTATCTGTATCCTTCATTTTTCTTGCCATCATTGTCAGAAACTCTGGAAAGTCAATTGTGCCATTGCCTGCAAGATAGTCACTTTGTTAATAAAAACAAGTTTTAGACACTTTACTGCATTATTTATTAGTAAAATCTTACCATCAGCATCTACTTCATTGATCATATCCTGTAGCTCTGCTTCTGTGGGGTTCTGACCGAGCGATCTCATCACTGTCCCCAACTCCTTTGTAGTTATAGTACCATCACCATCCTTGTCAAATAGTGAAAAAGCTTCTTTGAATTCTGTACAACAACAACAAAAAAAAAAAGAGTTAACCCCTTCAGCTTTGAAAGGGTGAGTTTATTTAACCATGTAAGAATCCACTGCTGCTTATTGTAAATTACAGAACTCTGTCATTCTCTTCAGAAAAATCTCAATATACTGCTCAGTCTGGTTTAATTGTAATGCCAATATGGAAGCACCAGCATCTGGAAAACCACCTGCCAGTCTAATCAACCAAATTTTGACCTAAGTAAGATGGGAAGCTCACCCATTTCACAAGCACTCTGATCAATCTCAAACAAGGTAACTAATACAAAGCCAGAAGGAATAGCTATCTACAACTAGAATGATCCATGTCCTTGGTAGGAACTGTTTGTCTCACAAGGAAACATGAGATTACAGAATCATAAATTACTCTGAGAAAGCTGAAAACCAGTACTTAAAATACAACTGCTACAGGTGCCTAGCACTTCTATTACTAATAAATCAATGGGAAAAGCTATAATCAGACCCAACTAAAACCAAATTCTCATTATAACTCAGTTCTTCTGGCCTTGACACCTGAACAACATATACTACATGAAGCTGTAAGGACCTGCACCGTAGGTATTAACCTTTGGCCATAGCTAGCTACAAGGGAACTTCTTCCAGCCTTCTCTCCCAATGGGCTTCTGCAGTTTTTCAGCCTCTTTATGCATACAACTCCAGTCATCTGATCAAGGAGGAAAGCCACTGGTGTGTCTTAGTTTCTGAAAGGCTGATTAGAAAACTACATCAGTCCTACTGTATCCTGAAACAGCCTTCACAGAACTAGTAAAAAAAAAAAAAAAACAAACTGTTGTAAGACTGCTTAACTGCATTTCCATGCTACCTCTTAACCCCCTATAATGGCTGTACTGTAGCCAGCAATACTAATACAAGCATAACATGTTTAATTGTCCAGCCCAAAAATGGGAGTTGGTTTTAATCCATGCCATCTGTTTCTCTTTGGCCACAGACCTTAAACTTGCTCACTGGACTGTAATAGCTCATATAAAAGTTAAAACATGAAAAACATAGCTGTTCTCTTGTATAGTTCAGATACTTTTACAGCTTTCAAGTTATCTGAGATCATGCCTCTGGAGAAGTTGTTAGCTCAAGGGTGCTCCTGCATCAAAAATACTTCCAAGAATTAATTTTTCAAATTTCCCAGCAGCCAGCTTTCCAGATGGTGGGTTTCCCAGACCAGGATTAGTCACAGTAAAAGCTGTGTTTTCACATGAACTACATGAAGTCCTACTTCATCCATTTCATACCCTGAAACACTTGAGGTGAGTACAAGCTGGCAAGTGTTAAAAACACAACTACAAAAATAGGCTTTTTATAGTTCATGAATGCAGCTATAATACCAGAGCCATGGTTGAGTCCCATCCAGGAAAAAAAACTCTTCTACATCTAACAGCCTGAAGTGTTCCAAAAGCCAACTCCCACTGTTTAGCACATTAGAATCAGAGCAAGGCTAACACAGGACCAGATTAAATAGTTTCAAGCCAGTATTGTATAACCACAAAGCAGAAACAGGCTTACCCTAACAGGCAGCTATAACCTGTGCCTACAGTAGCTTCCAAACAGTCTTTGGGATTAGTTTCAGTTAGCTCAGGCAACAAATAGATTTACCAGGAGTAAAGCTTTACACCAAGGAAGAACAGGCTTTTAGGTCAAGCCTAGTAGAGAAGTTTGTAGTCTATCACAGAAGAAGGACCTCGCAAGGGGAACACCGACTCTTTATCGAGAGTCAGATACTAAAGTGTAATCCTAAATGTTCAGCTGTTAACCACTTCATCCTACTTGAAGATCAACTGTCACTAAAACAAAGCCTTCACAGTATTGCAATGACCCTGCCTAGAAAAAGTAGCAATTTTTATGCAAAAATCAGAAGACTTGCTTTCGACAATGCAGGCAGCGGTGTATCCTAACCATCTTAGGTGAATCATTTAAAGGACAACTCTTCACCTTTTACTCGAAGATGCATTAGGCTGAGAAATAACCATAAAGACTGTAAAGCAAGTCAAAGATCAACAGCATACTCCTGTTTGAAATGCTGAATTGAGTTATGAACACAATTAGAATACCTCTTCAACTACATCTAGGGACCACCTCCAGTAATCAGAACAAAGGAGTAACAACCTATACAGATAGAGTTTAGACTATAACAACCTAGCATAGCTTTGGAGGATTTACAGCAATGGCCAGTGAAGGCAGCTATGAAACACTAACGCTTAGTGAGAGACTCAGTTCTGGCTTCTGCAACATAGGATTATAAGTCACACCTCCCACACCCTAAACATCTTATCACTCCATGCAGCATTTAAAGCAAATCCTCCCTCTATTCAACACTCCTCCATAGCAAGCTGCAAATGAAAATTCTCTTGTATCCTAGATAAGGCTAACCTGCCAGAAACCCAAGGACAGTGCTGGCAGAAAACCGGCCTACAAAGCTTCAGCCTTCCTTCTGAGAATTGCACTGCACTAAGACTACTTCTAGGCTAAACAAAAGAAAGGCAGGTCCAACAGAATGTGACCTCTAACACCCTAGCTCAAAATGTTCTATTTAACAATAGCTTCTGAGGCATGCCTGTACCACATCACCTTTCCAGATGAAGTGGCAGCCTTCAGTGACCTAATATGTTCATTGAACCAGAACGACCATTTCCACCCTCATACAGTTTAGCCAGCTATGTCTGGAACTTTTATAGGAGAATGTCAATTGTTTTCTTCACAGCTACCAGGAGCTCAACACTTGAACACAACTATTTCTACTATGAAATAAATTCTAAGTCACTCTTGTGGTTAGATTCCCAACTGAGAACCACAACACACTAGGAACAAACACCATACATAGGCCTACTTGTTGTTCACTGCCCATTTAGACATTTGAGATTAGGGGAAGGAGTATAGTTCACTAGACTAGGTGCTCTGGGACAAAGCATCTTTACAGTCACACCCCCACAACCACCCACATCAAGTGGCTCTGACCTGTATAGCTTTTTTAATACAACACTTAACCAAAGGGATACCCATCTGACTTGGCAACTAACTCTTACTGGATGAGGCTGCAGCTAGCATTGACACTAGGCTTTCAAAACAGTCTTTCATATGAACAAAACCTGGGAAGTCTTTCATCCCTATCTATATAAAGGAAAGGACCTTCTGGCCTGTATGACCGATGAATTCCAAAGGATGTAAGAACTGGAATCTTAAAACAGCTGTAATTCTGGTTTTCAGAGGTTGTTTTAAGCATAGAAACAGCTGCTTTTATTAGTTTGGCCTATTATTTAAGAAAAGAAGTATTGTCTCTACCTTGTAGCACCCACTTTTAACTCAAAAGCTAGGCATCTTCAGCTTAGTTGAAATGGAATGGTAAGGGGGCTCAAGCTTGTAAAACCAGTCTCTGTAAAACACAATCTGTACCTGTGATTGTTTTCCCATACAAGACACTGGCCTTCAACAGCTGAACTAAGCAGACTGCTTGGACACCTGCAACCAAACCCTTCCTAAGCAGTACTCAGGGTGGTTCCCCCAGTAGACCAGTTCATGTCTTCATACCATAGGTTTATGGTTTACCTGATGACACATTTGCTTCATGAAATACTACAGTCAAACTGGAAGCGGCAGGCCATTTTACACTGGATATAAAGTTACACTCTTTTCACACAGATGAAAACCCTCTATTCCCCTATGACAAGCCTATTAATACTTTTGGCTCTGAAAAATGTACCATCATTACTGAATAGCTAACATTTGCACTAATCCCAAGGTGGTGTTAATAAGCTTCCTGTTTATATTCCGTAATCAGCTACATCAACTAATCAAGCATCTACAGTTACAAACTGAAACAATGAACCATTACAGAAGAGACAGCAGTGACAGTTGATAAAAGCCTGCTCTAACTAAACTGATCACAAACCCCTTAAGATATGTAGGCCACTTACACACACAAAATAATCTTCAGTTGAACTAGATTTGGCTTGTGTTTACTCATAAGACAATACCATGGCAACAAATAAATAGACTAAGGACTTTCCACAGTACCATAATTAGTCTCCTATGAATTAAAGCAAGCTTGTGAAGTCTAAAAGCTAAAGAATGTTCTTACACTTCAAATATGGCAATTATGTTGAAAACAAACTAGCTCATTATGACACTTCTGTTTAATACCGTGCCTTCAAGAGTTACACCACAGTTAAATAACACTACCTCTTAGAGGCTGTTATTTGTATGTGTGACCTAGTACTATTAGATTAGCAGACCCCTAACACCATCTAAAATCTTTTCACATGACAGTTATGCACACCAAGACTTTCTAGTATTAACACTACACACTTGTCAGGTCAAAAACCCTGAAGTTTTTTTTTGAATGTCCATGGCAAGGCCTAATTCTGCATTACCAGCTTTTAAGTCACATCAATTACTAAAGTTGAGATCAGTCTTCAGAGAGCAGTGACAGATACTAGTTTGTGCAGCCGGCATGAGTAGGAGACAACAACCAAATTTTAGCCACTAGCAGACAGTTGTCAGTGCACACACATAAATGATTGTTAAGAGGCAAATACTAAGACACGAGATATGCATATTTATTCAAGCATTTCAAACCAAGTGCCAGAGCATTAGAACAGTGCACAGAACACTTGCATCCAAGCCCACAGTGCAGTTCCAAATATGGAATATCAAGAAATCAGTCTCTGCTGTCATCAAAAACAGCCACACTGAAACATGCCTGACAGAGGAGACTGAAAAGTAAATTATTTTTGCCTTCTGCTGGAAGAGCACTCCAGATTACAAGTCTTCACCAGACTCCTCCCATCCCTTTCAGTTTGCAGTAGACAGGCCTTTAAAACTTGAGACAAATGGATATATTCCACAATACTTCCTCAGTTCCTAAGAAAGCTAAATATCTTGTGTAACACAGACTGTCACTGGATTAAGAGATGTACCAGGTCAAGCAGGAGTATCAACACAGCGTATAAAAACCTCACCTGCAATCTGCTCTTCTGTCAGTTGATCAGCCTGCAAGGAAAGAGAATATCATTATAATTGTAGCAAAAGTTCAAGGCAAAATAAGGCACGGAATTCTGAATATGGTAGCTGCTCTTCAGCACTTATCTGTAGCATTCTGAAATAGCTCTAATGAGCACAGCTCAAAAGTCATGCTTGCTTGCCAAGTAAGAACTGGCAGCCTGTCCTCATTTCCTGACCCTGCAGTATCTCATACACTCAAATAATAGATTAACATGTGTACCAAGCAACACCAGCAAAAACTCAAAGCACCAAGTCCCTCTATACAAGTTTTAAACTCATTAACACAGCAGCCTAGTGGTAGTTGTACTTTGGTAAACTTCACTTTTAGACCAAAAGTGTTTAGCACTAAGTAATGTGACAGTAACCCCTAAATCCCAAATTCAAGGCTGACTATTCTCTTCTGCTAAGTTAAAATGCCATAATTAGAAAGATGTACTCTTCTCTAAAATTAAATCATCCCTTGATTAACATGAAGCTTCATGTCCAAGACCTGACCATGAAAAAAAAAAACAACTCTATATAATCAGTACTAGTAGCTTAAGTCCAAACTGGTAATTTCAATGCATTTGTCATATGGATGTCTAGACTTTCTTCAGAGCATTGTGTACTGACTGAAGTAGCATCAGGTAGTTTACAGGATCACTAGAGAAAATTTCAGTGGTGCAAGACATGCAATTGCTTTATCAGTTAATTACCCCCTTGTTTATACCTCATTTTGCTTCATCACTGAAAAGTTTTGAATCAACTGGATTTGACAGCAATAAAAAAAAAACCCAAAAACAACCCTCAGTCTCCAAGGCCAAACCCAAGATGGGCTTCACTCTTAAAAGAGAACACAGGTGTTTCAGAACTGTAGAAATACTTTCCCTAGGCTTTCAAGTTAGCAGATTCATCAAATTCTGGATAGCTTCAGTTCAGTTGCAGTAACCAGGCCATAGATATTCTTCAAGGAAGCTCCTTGAGCTCGTTATCCCATAGCACTCCATGGAAGAGTCAAAAACAACCACTTTAAAAAATACAGAAGATATATGCTTACTGCCAAAGTGCAACACCACTTTTTTAGTTTTATTCCTGTTGTGATCACTTCAAGAACCTTTTTAAGATTACTTCAATATTGACAGCTAGAAAGGTTTTCAGTTACTAGCTGTGCCCACCAAGGTCTCTACCCACATTAGCCATCTTCCAATGAAGTAATTCAGAAAATATATATATACCAACTGCTTTTTTTACCATTTGAATTTTTATATTGCTTAGCAACTTAGACATTACCAGCTCCTGGCTACTCTTCCTGCAATAGAAGTGAACCAAGCTGCTCAAGAAACCATGTAAGAGCTAAACTACTCTTGCACAGTACCACGCATGCAGTACAGCAACAGCCCAAGGTAAAGGCTATGATAAGGGATTTCTCAGACTGTTCACGGTTCACCTAAGAATCAAGACCACAGTACTGAGTAATTTTTTAAAAGAGCAGCCAATGGATATTTGCAGCTATAGACTCCACCTGTCCCGATTTCAGTAGCTGTAGAAATTATTCATACACAGGTTCAATACTGGTTTAAAAAAAATAACCAAACAAAAAAAAAAAATCAAAACCCAAACTGAGATAGCTTAGGGCAGTAGCAACAGTGCTGAGAACATCACCAACTCAACATTAGTCTGAGATGGAAGCATTCTGCTGGGCACTTAACAGAAGCCTAGCAGATTTTTGCTCATCTGGAGCACAGACTCACTCATACCTTTGCATGTTATTTACATTTTTATTGCTTGAGTGAAGAGGATGATGTGCTACATTTCTGTAGGCTATTTATATCCACAGAAAGCTGTAGATCAGATTTAAGTAGCAAGAACCAAGTTTACATAGGTCAGTACTTATGAGTTACCAAGTTGAGTCACATACTGTTTTATATACAGACATGACATTAAGCAGTGTTTAAGATGTTAGGTGTTCCTGAACTCTTCCTCTCTAACTTCCAGCAACTTAAAACATCCTATAGCCACTAACCATAAATTTGGTTAAGCTTAGTCAGTACCTTTAAAGAGGTACAGTGCTTGAGAACACACTGCTTATTAGAAGCCACAGGTATAGGGCAGTTGCAAGATAAGCTAGGAGGTGGGGCAAGGTTGAACAAACACCATCTGTACTCTACAGTGCTAGGCTCTGCAGGGACTGCTGCGCAACAGCAGTAAAAGGCGGAGCCAGCAAGGCTGCCAGATCACTCCCTCCTATGCCACTCAGGTGGAGGGCTATCAGCCCAGGTCCACGCTACTGGGGACTTCTAGAGGGAACTCCTGGAGTTATTTATCCTGAGCTTAAGGTAAACACTCATGCATTACATGTGGCAGTATGCACAACTCCAGCGATGCAACCACCTTCAGAAACTAACAGATCATAACTGGAACCTGCCCCTATGCTGGAGTTTTGACATGCCCCTTACTACAGTCAAGATCCACCTGAAAACCTCCTCTGGTGAAGACAGGAAACCCATCACAGCTTTGACACGGCATTCTCCAATTCATATTGCGGCACTTTCATTTTCACTGCAGTGGCTCCCATCCCCCCACCCCCGGATTGTGTTGAGGGCCTGACAAAGACTCTTAGCCTGCTAGGAAAAAAGGGGAGCTGTTGTGCTGCAGCAGTTTCAGTGGCACATGCAGCCTCTAGAGGTAGTGTTCCATTACAGTCGTGGCTGCTATGCTGTAATCAGTTTGGAAGATCCTCAAGAGAGCTGACTAACACTGCCTGATAGAGAGCTATCAGCACATCACAGAACAGACAACACTGTCTCCCTCCAAAACATGGCATTTTGATACATTTCACAGGTATCTGATCTGAATGGAGAGTTCTGTTCTTCCAACATTAAGAATGAGAACTAAACAGACTAGCATATAAGGGCCAAAAGAGTAGGTTAGCTTATTCTAGGAGCAAATCATCCTGCTTTATCTAGCATGTGTGGTGTTGGACAACATATATTCACAGGTTTAGCCAGTCTGGTCTGTTCAGATGAACTATAACCACAGTCAAAGTGTCACTGTGCCTCCTGGACACACCCATTTTTTATATAGACCTTGGTTGAAGATACTCCATTTTTGGTTCTGTACAGACTATGATTACATGCAGTAAGAGGCTTTTGCTGCTAGATTCACCTATTTTTTTCCCTTTACAGTTTGGTGTACAGGTTTATAATTCAAGCAGAAGAATAGATTCAGGATTCTGTTTACCTGATTTCTTTGCCCAGAGAGAGCACTTAAAAAAGATATACTTAATTTCTAGGCGCCCATCGTTCACATTACACAACGCAAATTGACAGTGATCTGATTCTTTTAAAGCATACATACATTCCCATGTAATGAATGAAAAGGCAATTCCACTCAACTGCATCTTCTCTTAAAGAGATTAAGCAATTGGTCATTGGTGTTGCTTTTGCGACAGAACTGTTCTTTTTTGTACGTGTTTCAGTATCCACGTTTTAATTAAAAAAAAATCGCTAAACTTATATCCATTAGACCGAATTTGAAACAACTCTCCAATTCCACAGAACATATTTTATTTCGACACTTGATTTAAATCCTAAACAAACGTATTGCTAGGAAAAATAAACTGTGCTTGACCAAGAAAATGTCCACCGCAATGCCCAAAACGGGAAGCCAAAGCTGTAAAAAAGCCCCCATAATTCCTTGTTCAACAGAGCCGCCGACAGCAAGGCGTTATCATGAAATCGGCAGGAGAAAGCGGCTCCAACGTGAGCTGACAACAGGTCTAGCAAGGAAGGAGATGGTGCAGTGAGGCAGCCTGCCCCTCATCATCATGCTGCTCAGAAGCTGCAGGGCTCCGCATTGCATTATTACCAGGCGCAACACACCTCGCTAGCGAGCCAGACATCTTAGGCGCTCGCAGCAGCCGTTGCCGCGCCGCTGGCTCCCCAGCCCCATTCAGCCGCACACGCCGGCTTGCCAGGGGAGGGAAAGGGGGGAAGAGGAAGCGATAAGGAAGCGGAGCTGGTGCCATCGTGGCAAGCTTCTTCCCCCCTCGCGGATCTCCTCCCAGGAGGAACCGTTATCTGCCGCTCCCCCCCGCCCCCCAACCGACACACGCCCCGACAAAGCGTCATGGCGCTCGGACCGAGTGGCAGTTTGAATTTTGAATCCGCACCAACGCCCCTGGGCGGGAAAGGGACTCGGGCGGGATCCGGACACCGCCACCACCGCTTCTTCCAACGCACACAGCGCCTCCGAGCGGGACCCCCCGCCCCAGCCCGCTCACACTGCAGGGCTGCGCCCAACGGCCGCAGCGACGGACGCATTCACCCCTACCCCCCCCCCCATTATACAGGCAACCTCGCCCCATACCGACCAAACCACTTACCCCTCTCCTTCCCCCCACCCTTCAGCCACAAGCACTCGCATCCCCCTGCCCCACACACCGAGCTCCGGACAAACACCCGCAAAGCCCTACCGCGCCCCCACACCTAGGGACTCACCATGGTGGCCCGGCCTGGCTGTGGGGTGTGGTGGAAGCTAACGGCTGCACGGGGCTCACGAACAACCAGCCCGCTCAACGGCTCGCCTCACACTGAGCCCTGCCTGCCCGCCAGCAGTGCCTCATAAACCTCCTCACAGCCCGCCTGGATCGCTCCGCGCCGCTCCCTCCCCCCTCCTCTTTTCCTCTGCGGGGAGCAGAGCTGAGAAAGAAGTCCCGGCTGTTCGCGCTCATCTGGGCACGACCCCCCCCCCCCCCCGTACCCCGAGCGCATCCCCTTTCTGCCCCCAAACCCCCATGCCCAGCGCAGGAAGAGGCACGGTGAGGGAAAGGGAGGGACTGCGCTTGTAAATTGGAGAGGGAGTGGGGGGGATGTGCCAGGGGGGTCAGGCTGAGGAACTATTTTTCCAAGCGGAAGAGAATCTTAGAAAAAAATACCGATGAGTGCAGAGCCTCCAGAAGGAGGGCGCTGATTGGTGGATTCGTACCTGCAATGCGTCACTTGGACATGCACAGTCTGCGTTGCGAAGCGGTTACCCTGCCCCCCGCCCGCAGTGCGTGAGGCCCGGCCCGGCGCGGCCCGTGGGGTGCCGGCGCTCTGCCCGCCCGGCTGCCTGCTCCCCGCTCCCCGCAGCGGCAGCCACCGGGTGTGCCGGGCGGGCAGAGCGCCTGAGGAGCGGCGGCGGCCGCCGCAGAGGGCTTGTGGAGGGAAAGGGGGAGCAGGGCGGGCTCCCCTCCTCCATCAACCTTCTTCCATCACCTCCTTCCGCAGCCGCGCTGGGTGCGTTCGGTGCTCCCCGGAGCGCACCTGAGGAACATCGCCGAGAGCGCGCTGGCAGAACGCTGCGCTCCGGCAAAGCCTCACCCGCAGGGTTGTAAACGAGACCCGCTCCGCATCCAGCGGAGGCCGGGAGCGCTCCCACTTCGAGCCGCAGGCCGGAGGCGCATCGTTGTTGGTAGAATTGTTTAATAGAATGGATCCTCTGCGGGGAGCCACGCACAGGCTGGGCTTGTGCCCGGGGACAGATGGACAGGGACTCTGAGCCGAAATCACATTTGTCCAAATGCATCTTACCAGGGGTTTCTCCAAAAGGGATTTGGGCAAATGGCTCCAGGCAACGTTTCCAAACTTGTATTTTCCAAGGCATATAGTGTGCAAAACCCCAACAGATTATTGAGCAAAGAGCTGTGATGTTGCTGAGTTCAGTGAAAGCAGGCCTACCTGTCCTCTCTGAAACTCACCCACAACACTTGCTTTGGGACTGTAAATGTATTATTAAACCTGGGGACAGGTCTGAGTTTTCTGGCCCAAGTTGGACTGCAAATTACCTGTAAGGTTACAATAAAAATTACCTGCTTCCGTATCTACTTCAAGAATCACTTAATTGATATTTATATGGTACTTTTTATACCTCTCTACTCACCACTAGACAAACCAGAGCAATGGTTCTCACTACACACTAAGGAGGTTTCTCTCATCTCTTTTGGTTTGTAGGCCATATAAATAGGATGTGCTTGGGAGGGGACTGGCACACATGAACTCCTAACAAGAACCTGTGACTTCTTCCCTCTGAATATGAATTGAAATTCTCAGGCCTGCTCTGTGTGTTGAGGTAATCTTGTGTCCACTGAGTTCAGGAACAAAGGAAGAAGAAACAGAACAAGACCTATTTATTCCTTAAAATAACCAGAGACCCCTTCATCAAGCCCGGTGCCTCATCTTCTCTACCTCACTCTGTGACCATAGGGAATACAGAAAGCAGCATCATGTACTTAAATTTGGCCTTCAGCCTCAAAATCTGCAGTTACTATTTCGTGACACATTAGGTTTTTAGGCCTCCATTCTGCTCAAGTATATTTATAGACCACAAATTAAGCACATCTAAACTATTGTCTTTTAAACCCTGATAACATGTTTTCAACGTGTAATATATACTTGGATGAACAAAATACACTTCGGAGAAAGCAGTAAGTGCCAAGGTTATTTCTATGCACGCCTCCTTGTCTCGCAATACGAACTAGGAGCAAATCCCCACCTAAGGCCATGCTGTGCTCAGTGCACATCAATGGAGCATCAAGATGGCTTCGAGCAGTTTTACTCCTCCCCATCAGTTCAGTTTTAAGGATTGCTCTGATGATCCCAACTTCTTTACAGTTCCAGAAGTGTGAATCACTGCAGACAAGTTCTTGACCAAAAAAAAAGGTGTCACCTGCTCTACATTTGGGATAAAAGCAGCATAGCACGGCTCAGGGTGCATGCATGTCGCACCCTCCAATCTGGAGTGGAGCAGAGTGCTGGTGCATCTGCGGGGAGCAAAACCATCTCCTGTGGAGACGTTTGCTTGAGTCCCGGCAACAGAACACCCACATGTGCTTGGTGTTGGGCCTGGTTTGCCAAGCCCTTTCCTTGGCGGCCATCCTTTATCCTCACAGCATCACAGAGAGCTTTACAACCTGGGTTGCTCAGGTGCCAAGGCTCAAGGAATCCGTTGAATGAGGTATAGAAACATATCTCTGAGGCAGGTCCTGAGAGATTTGATGGGAATTACGTGGAAGGGCTGTACTGAGACAGCGTGTTCTGCCTGAGTCCTGTACCTGGAGTTTGTCACTGGCTGTCTCAGGAGCGCAGAGGCTGTAGGAAATGAGGCCCGCAGCATAAATAAAATGTAGGCTCCATAATTATGGCCTATGGGTTTGGCAAGGAGCAGGGACTTGCGAATGCGAGAATTTCAGGTCCCAGAGAACCTGAGCACCATATTGTTTATTTCTTTATATGTCAATTAAAGTATTGGGTTTCTGTAATATATTAAATTCTCCACATTCTTTTTAATTACATTCCGTTTTCTCTAAAGATAGAAGAAGTGGTCATTCAGAGCATCCTTTCTCTGCTGTATGTTTCTCATGCCCCCTTGTTCCTTGAGCTCCTTCTCTCCCCTTTTCCTGTTCTTATGTGTCTCCTTTTTTCCATCTGCATTTTCCTCCAGCAGCACCCATTTCCTGTGGGTTTCATCACCACCCCCACCCTGCTTCCATCTGTTGAAGAGATCAGCCACGAAGTTAACTTGCAATTACACTACCAGTGAAATTACACCAACACTTACAGCGGCATTACTAAGCATTAAAGTGAACACCCCAGTGAAATTAATGGCAGAGAGGGGAATTCACCCCTCTCACAAACAGGTTGTCAGCACTCTCTGGTGGGTAAATGGCAGCTTCTCAGGTATATTGAGGCCAGGGTCCTCTCTGGGTGGTGTAGAGAGGCAGGATTGCTTTCCAGCAGCCTAGCTGACACTGCAGCCTGCACATATCATGGGAGGCAGAGAAATACATCAAATGACCACCCGCAGCTGCGGGCTGCAACTCTGACACCTTTAACAGAGCAGTAATGTGGATTGACTGTAATTTCTCTGTAGCAATGGTCCAGTATAGCTCTGCCAACTCAGACATTTTAACATGATAATTTCTCTCTCAGGTATGTAATTTAATAGATACGTCAATGTTTGTGCACTGTGCTCCCCCCCCAAGCCTCTCAGAAACATAGCCTCCTAAAAGTCCAGTTTCAGGACTGGGACAGCAAATTAGAAAAGCAGTGAGTTACAAGATAAAATGAGCTGTATAAGCCAGCAATTTTCACAGTTACTGTATGTGGTATATTTAATACTGTGTAAATTCACCTTATCCTATTGTTTTAATAATGCCTCAGTGGATTGTGTGGACCAATGTGTACAGCGTGCTCCGCAGTGGTATAAAACTCTATAGCTGCCTCCTCAAGTTTTGCTATGTCATTTCTGTGTAGAGTACAATAATAATTTGAACAACCTAATTAGAAATTAGTTGCGAATTTTGTAAGTGAATTTCTGAGGCAAGAAGAAAAAAGTTCTCTGATTGCAGCATGTACAAAAACTTAGCATTTAACTAAGTGCTACATACAGAAAGGAAATAGCTCATAGCTGGGGTTTGCGTAAGGGTCTAATTTTTCTCAGCTTTGTCTGTAATAGGGAACCTGTCACCCTGAGAAAGGCCTTTATTCCCAATTCCACCTTTATGGGGATAAAATCTAGGGTGTAAATCAATATTTAGCCACCCAAATGTACTTGGAAGGCCCACTCAGCCCTCAGGAAAGGAAAAACTTTGCTGTGTGCAAAATTTTAAGGTGCTAAATGAGACATCCCTGTACGTGGTATCCTGAGAGCATCTATTGATCAAACAACCCAGAATGCTGATAACTGGGAGGAACTGGGATGGCTGGTCATCCAGCTACCCTCACCTCATCTGCATGGCAGCAGCAGTGAGGAAAATACAGAGGTTTGTTGACTGTGCCTCTAATACAGACATGGCTGTGGGAATAGCTGCGTCTTTTCCTTGAGTATTGAAAGCCTTGCCCTGTCCTTTGTGCCTTATCCCTGAAGCACTCACACCTGGACTACATAGTGCCTGTAAATCACTGGGATGGCACTTTTTTCTCTATGGAATAGGGCAGGGTATGTCTCCCACTGCTGTTTCTGTAGAAGTGAATAGACAAGAGCACTGCAAAGTCCAGGTCTCAGGGAGAAAGGACTGCATCAAATGCTTTCAGAATACTACATTTCGTAGCTGTGTCTATGCTGTGCAGGATGCAGGCATATCCAAATTGGCAGTTAAGTAACTTGGATAGGGCTAACAAGGCAGCTCTAGCAGTGTGGTGCTTAATGCAAACTGCCAGACCCACTCAAGAAGCCATTCAGGTTTGGAGCTAGTGGATACAGAGCTCTATTGTGGGGATTACGTGGCTCCCCTGCTCAAGGCTAGATGTAGTAAAGCTGATTCAGGTGACCTAAAGCTGAGTCTTTTAACTTCATTGTGAGCATTCACTAAAATGAAACAAGATGGGAGAGTCCTAAAAATTAGGTAAGTGCACTCACATAAAACAGAGAGGATGGAGGAAGACGTGAGATGTAATCATGGGCTCTAGACTAGGATTAAGAGTAGAAAGCCAGTGGGATTCTCAGTCTTTGGTTGTTTTTTGTGGTTTGTCTTGTTTTGGTTTAAGAGATAAACAACTGCTTCCATTTTAAGAGGGTTTCTGATAGCACGCTGTCCATAAATTTGCAGCATTTTCTGGAGTCCTGTGAGGAAAACATAGCTC